TCAACAAGTCTAAGATACTCTTCTCAACAAAATTCAGGAAGAGTTTTTCTAAACTAAGTTTTGCCATTTGTCTCACTGATACATTGCATAAATCTCCTAATTTGCATAAGGGATTTAAACACAAAGTCACTCTGGTTTTAGGGATTTACCTTCAACTCTCCCCATGAAAGGCTGCCCAAATGTGACCATGCTACAAGCCTGAAGAGAACTGCAAAAAGAACTTTCTCAACAAAGAAGGAAAAGAGATGGAGAGATCCAGTATCAAGAATCAGAACACACAGAATGAAGCAGTGCAGAAAAGTGACAAGAAGGAAGAGGCACGAGCTGTAACTGAATTCACAGCAAGTCATCTACTCGTTACAAACCTCAGTTACTGAAGCCTTGTGTGATGTGAATTCAAATGAGACTGGCATTTGGGAAGTGGTATTTATACTGTTGAGTTTAGATTAGCACAACAGTGATCATATCCAGCATCCTTTAATTGCTGCTTAAAGTGAGGTTTGGTGATGGTTATAATGTAAGGACATGTGTAGGAATTCATTAAGTGTTCCAAAGGAAGTTTTGATATATTTAGATTGTATAGAGGTGGTACAAAACTGCCAAATTCTGAGAATATAGTAACAATGATGCTCTGAGATTTTGTAGTCTTATAAAGGTCATATATCTAGAAGCCAGCTAAATACAGATAACTTTAGTAATTTGTTTATTTTGCTGGAATTTTCTTCTCCATTTTAAAAATGGTAGTTACACGAGTACTCCTCCCCAAAAAACTCTTACTATTTTAAATACAGAAACAATTCCCAAAGTTTCTCCAAAATCTTGAAATTTTGGAAACCCTATTCCACCAATATCTAGTTTGCAAAACCCACATTTCAAGAGGCACAAAGCTGTGGCATTAAAAAGAAGTATCCTTACAAACTTAAAAAACCCCAACCAACCAACCAAAACAACACCAAAAAACCCCCAAACCGTAGTGGCCTTAAGTTTATGTTACTGTCCTAACTTCCTCTTAAGCACTTAGCAATCCCTTCTGAGCTCCATCCTGTGTTCTATAAATCTTATCTTTACAAAGAAAGCTTATTTGTAGTAATTTGGAATATTTTAAGAGCTCCAATCCATTTATTTTCAAAAGTGATGTAAGTACCCAATGCAGCTGAACTTGGAAAAAAAATTGTTTCCACCTAAAAACTTCTGTCAAACACAACAGCATTTTACCTGGGTAAGTGCAGTTACTCTGTTCTCACTAGGAAACAGTGGTGGATCTTCTCCAACTTGGAAATCAAAGTACACAGTTTTGTGTGTGAAAGTAGAGAACTCATTGCTGAAGCAGAATTTGTATGTTCCGTTTCTGGATGCAGTAAATGTGAAGCTATCATATTGTTTCTTCATCTCTTTGTACAATACAACACCATCAGGATCTTCCAGCCGACAGTCAACATCGTAATGACCTCCAGTGATCACCTGAGAACATAAACCAAGATATGGTCTCTTTAGCAAAATGGATATTTATGCATTTCTTCTAAGAAGTATCATCTGTCAAGTGGCACTGCAAAGCTTTTTGCTTTGACAAGTGCTTTACCAATATAATGCATTAATCTGAAAAACTTTCAAAGCAAGTCTGCAAAATTATTTTCCTATGGAAGACACACAGAAAATAATAAAAAATGCTTTAGGTTCAGCATATGTAATGTCAACTGTATTTTCAAACCCTTTGGAGAGCAATTTTAGTTACTTTGTTATAAATAACTCAACAACAGCAAAGGCTACAGTAGATGAAGCTCAATGGGACTGCAAAGACATTACTGTAACAAGTCAATCATTTGCTGTATAAACAAGTCGTTCATGGAATCAGTTCATCTGTCTGAGACTGCTAACATGCAGTAAGACATTTCCTTTCTGTGTGGTCAGAAGAGTATCTGCCCAACTGTATCAGCTGCCTTAAACTGCAGGGATGGTGTTCAACCAGTAAAACATGAATTTCAATCTGTCCAGTCTTCCTGCCTGCTCCTCAACAGAGAAATGTTCTGGGGGTCCTGCTGCCTCCTTCCCGCACAGTTGGACACAGCAGTGCTTCCAAAAACCAGCACATCCAGATAATGCCTCCAAGTGACTCAAAACTTCACGGTCGCAAGGGTTTGTTTGAGGCTTTGATTATTGTTGGTGTACAGAGTATTGCTACCTGGATTCTACAGAAAGACTGTAGGGAGTTTAGGTATTCACGACTTGGTGTTCTGATGACTCTTACAGTAGCAGTTTTACACTTTATCCTTGCCACAAATTTTTACCTTTAAGATAAAGCATACTGAAAGAGGAAGAGACTTATATCTAAAGGCATATTCATTTTATATGTATGCAGAAATCACTGAAATATTTTAGTATCTGTGTATATGCACTTCACTCCACTGAGCATTGTTTAAACTCTCATCAGTTTACTGAGCTACCAAGTTATTAAAATAATGACTTTAATGATACAATTGAAACAACAAACTGGAGCAGCAGCTCCTCCACAAAGATGAAGTTCTGAAAGTATCCAGTTGGCAAGCAATAACATAGCTCTTCATTTCAGAAATACAATCTCCAACTTGACCAGGGTGTGCTTTTTACCAATTACATGAAAGTCACTTGCATTCAGCTAGATCACCCTGAAAGTGTCAGTTTACATCGAGGTGGTAAAGACTGGCCAGAGCTTTGAAGTTGCCCTAGGATTCCTTCCCACAGAGCTTGCCTGTGCCTCTGTCGGCCCTTAAGACACACTGTCAAAGGAAATTCACACAGCACTTTAGTCTACCAGTGGCTGGTCAAATCCAGACTTTTCTTTTATCAATGCTACTCCTGTTCTGGGCACCAAAAAAAATGGCAAGAGCAGGCTGATCTGCACAGTGATATCCAATTCAAAACTGCAGGGAAAGTACTGCACATAAAAGACTTCATGGAAGAAACAAGCAGGGACAAGAAGCACTTGGGCAGGGAAAAAGATACCTAGGAGCTAGAACACATAAGACAAAGTAACAAGAACCAATATATGGCAGCAACTGAGAAAGAAAAAAACTGCAGAACTTCAACAAGAACAGTCAGCCTATAGAGTCACACAGCCCCTTCAAAACCCCTCAAAGGTAACTATGATTTCTGTCATCAAGGACTATTTTTCTCTCATGCTGCTGCTTTAGTGTTAGTGACTTCATCAGCTAAAGTGCCAGACTGAAAGGCTCCAACCCCGCAGATACACTCACAGGCATCAAAACAGTGATGCTGTACCGCATCCTTGTCCCATCACCCTTTTACTGTTTACTACGTAACCCCAATCTGAACGGTGCTCTGAAATACGAAGCATCAGCTCTTAAGATGTACTGTGCTGATCCCGTCGGTGCTTCGTAAACCACAAGGGAATTACTTTCGCAGCACCTTGTGGGTCAGGTGTGCTTTAGGTATTCTCCGCGCTGTTGGGGCGGGACACGACACGGCAGCGACCAGGGCAAAGACACCGCCAGTTTTCAGAGCCAGCCCTGCACTACACTGAAGCCTCCTCGCCGCAGCTGAGCTGGAAACTCCTCACTGGATCCAAATAATCCCTAAATGCCGGAGCCGAGTGGGAGCTCCCGGCAGCGGCCCCTGCTCGGGGCCGCGCCCAGCGGGGCCAGCGCGGCGCCCGCGCCCAGGGCGGCGCCTCCCGGCCGGGTACCTGGAACTCGAGGGTGCACTTGGTGCCCTGGGCGATCTCCTCGTAGAAGCACTGCTTGGCGTTGTCGGGCAGCTCGAAGGTGATCTCGGAGGCCTGCGCCACGCAGGCCGCCAGCGCCGCCACCAGCAGCAAGGGCGGCAGCGGCCCCCGGGAGCCCCGCGGCGGCATCGCCTGGCGAAGGGGGACGCGAGGGGGGCGCGGAGGGGCGAGGGGGCTGCGGGGGCGGCTGTGGCTGCGGGGCTGCGGGCGGGACGCGGCGTGGCCGAGGGGCCCAGGCGGGACGCACAGCTGCCACCCGGAAGCGCCCGCGCGGCCGCGCCGCCTTCACGGAGCGGTTCCGGGATGTGCGGACGTGTGTCCGGCGGGGAAGGGGCGGGAAAGGGGCGGGAAAGGGGGCCGGCGCGGTTCTGACGGGTCGCAGCTGGTTGCTTGGTGCCTGCGCATCGCGGGTTGTTCCGAGGGTCCCACCTGGAGCGACCTAAAGCTGGGAATCGTGTGCTCCGAGAGGCGTCGAAAAGCGGCCTCGGTGCCCTCCGAGAAGCGCAGTATACAGAGAGAGGGGTTTGGAGAGTTCTGCTTCGCAGATCCTGAAACGTTCAGTGCTCCAGAGAGATAAAGCAGACGTCAAAGTGGACACGCTGTCTTCAGCAGTATCGGCTTTCAAATTCTAATCCAGTAAATAGAATCATAGAATAATAGAATGTTAAGGCATTGGAAAGAATCTTAAAGATCATCTAGTCTCAACGCCCCCTGCCATGGGCAGAGACACCTCCCACTAGGCAAGGTTGCTCAAGGCCTTGTCCAACCTGGCCTTGAACACTGCCAGGGTTGGGATATCCGCAACCTCCTGGGCAACCTGTTCCAGTGTCTCACCACCTCACAGTAAAAAATTTCTTCCTAATATCTAAACTAAATTTCCTCTCTTTCAATTTGTACCCTTTATAACTTGTACTGTCACTACAATTCCTGATACATAGTCCCTCTCCAGCTTCCCTGTAAGCCCCCTTCAGATGCTGGAAGGTCTCCACACAACCTTCACTTTTCCAGACTGGACAGCCCCAACTTTCTCAGCCTTTCCCAGTTTACAGATTCACAGGAATAACACAAAAATAACCCCCATTCTTATTATATTAATGTTAAGTTCTGTGGCAAATGAGATGGACTAGGAAAAAGAAAATTTGGGTCCAATCTCCCAGGCAGGAGCATGAGTTTGTAATCTGGAGTAGATCTGGAGTCCCATTTTGCTCCCCAGGAAAAGGAGTCTTATGTAAGCTTGTTAAACCTGTGATTTTCACCCTCAGCACTGCATAAGGAACCTGGGCATCAGTTTGAGGACTGTGGATTTCACAGGACAGAGGTACCCAAAATTCATATGTTGAGGACTTGGATAGATATGCAGGTGTGGATTAAAGCGAGATGGGAGATACTTTACCAAGGACCCACCCCACCTCTGAAGCAGAGATTTTCCATCTACAGTTAATCCTCAGATGTTTGCTGCTTTCATTTAAACACACTGTTTTATTTTAGATTGCATTTAAGTGTTGGCTGATAGCTGACACAGCTCAAAAGCAGATTATATCTAGGCCATACGATGCAGTTCCAGCCATTTTACTTAAATCAGTGACTACAGGCTCATAGAACCTGTGTCACCTAATCACCTTCTTCTTCATATGGCAAGAAATATGTTTCAGGAAGACTCGCTCTGTGATTTTTGACAGCAACTGAAACAATCCTGTACAGCTCACAGTTTCCTAGTTCATTCTTTCCAGCTATTTTAAAGCCTCATTAAATGAGCAAAATGAAGCTTACCTAAGAAATTACAATTAGAAACCTGTCACCAAACAAAAAACAGAAGGAGAAAGATGCAGAGCAGGCAAGAAAGGTGTCTGGTGACACCTGTAAAATAAGCAAAAACCCAGACATCCCAACTCCCAAAATAAGTCAGCAAGAACAAATGAGATCACTTCCTTTTCTTTTGCGCTGGGCTTAGAGAGTATAAAACATAAACTGAGTGAAGAAAGCAACTGCCTGCAAGAAGCTCTCGAGCCTGGTTATCCTTATCCTGGTGACCAAGGACCACCAAGGATGGAGCCATCAGCACTCACTGCACGGCATCAACTCCACTGCATTGTGTACTTGCAGCTCATCTGGGATAGATGTTTTAAGGACTAATGGTTTTGTATATGTAGTGATCATGATAGTAATTGAGAACTAGCTATTAGCAACCTGAACTGCTTATGAACTTCAGTACTTCTTTCGCAGCTTGAAACTGGCTTGATTTATTTATTCCTTGCACACCCTAGTCACAGCAATACCCAATTCCCTAAACAGTACATGGAGCTGTATTTTAGTTTGAAACACTAAAGAGCTGAGCTTTTCTGTTTTAGAACATCACATATGCCTTTGTACTTGTTGATTTCATTACAGTTTTCATTGAGTTAGCTGATTAATAATTTCTAATCCTTACAAGGAATTAAAAAAAAAAAAACATTAGGTTGCTGGTTCTGCTGTTGCTGTTCCCAGATTCTTCCCAGTTTTCATTGTTCTGTCTCCATGTATAACCATTCTGTTTGTGAAATAAAAAAAAAATAAATCACGTTTTCTTTATCGTCTTACTGCACAAATAATATTTTAATATTAAACCCAAAATAAGTTCAATAAATATATTTTAGAGGGAGTCATATGAAGAGTTTTTCTTTCCAACTGGACTATCTGTTTAACTATGCTCTGTTTCCCATGCTCTCAGTGTGGTTCTTGCCTGAGAAAAACCTTTATGATATTTTTCTCTGTTATGGCAGAATATTTGCAAGTAGAATTCTATATTCCAACTTTCCCAAAACTTGCATGCAGAGATATATTTTATTAATGATCTTATTTGCCTTAAGTGTAAAGTTAAAACATAGTTCTCAGTCAAAGACTAGAAGAAAACAAACATTCGTTTTATTGTTTCATTTTTTCAGAAACAGGTGGAAGCAACTGCAGAAAGACCAAAGAAACTTCCAAAGTAGAATGAATTCAGATGTCTGTGTTTCTTCTTCTCTGCTCAGTAGCTGAGTCAAGTTTCAGATCTTTTCTCCTGAGGTAGTTAGAGACCTTTTGCCCATATTAGAGGTTGTAGATATGGATGCAATTTCAAGCAGAGAAAATGAGATCTTATGACTCAAATAACATTTCCTGTTATTTGAGTAGTAAAACAGAAAAAGCTGTTCTTCACCTTTACAATCCTTTAATATGCAGTCCTCCGTACTAGAAGTTTTGAAACGTGTTTTCATAAAATTCATTAGTCAATGTGGTCCTCATATATTTCCATAAATCTAGTTGTGTGCAGTACTTAAAAAATACACTTTACTATTTTAATTTAATTCTCACTTAGAGTTCATTCCACAATAGGCTTTATCTGGCTACTCAACCTACCTTTCATGGTATAGCTTCACCATTTTAAGTATCTCAGTTTTAAACATCTTTGCTTTGGGCTTGTTTTGACAGATTTTATATAAATAATAAACCTTGTTCTGCCACGGTATCAAGATATTAATTCCTCTTTACTTACTGGTACAGTTCTCAGTTTTGGATAGGTTAAAATTACTAAAATAAGCCAGTCAGGATATAATACAAATTAATCTTTTTTTCACTTTCCTTTATACTTTCAGAAGCAGCCTTGAACAACTCTGGCACCTGCAAAAAACACTGAGTGGCAGTCAAGTATACTGACACAGTTTCGTCACACAGTTTCAATGTGATTTGTGCAAAGTCATGCTGTGGAGGAAAAAATCACCAGACCTGAAAACTGCTTGAATTTATCCTTTTTTTCAAGGTTCAGTGCATTTTCTAACCTCTGTTCTCCTGTTTTCAAAACTGCAGTGAACAAGAAATGAGCTTGTTTGAGTCTAAAAAGTCAGCATGCTACTGTCTATGCTCATATTAATTGATTACATAAAAGCCAAAACACATCCTAACAGTACACACCAAGAAAATAACACATTCCAGTAAAAGTTCTAGATGAACCCCAAATTTAGGTGCACCCAAAATTAAGTATTTACTGTACTTCCACATTTACAGCTTCACAGAAAAACAGGCTGAGAGCTGCTGCAGTACAGGGAGTTGGCCATCATGGAATCAGAAGGGAGATTATTGGGAAAGTTGTGACCCTAGCTACCATCTGAAATACCCCACATGCACTCTTGTGGAGTCAGTTCTAAGTCTTACTGACGAGAAGAATTTGTGAATCTGTATTCATGAAAACACAGTCCTTTGATTTTCAATGTCTTTTTAAAATATATTTGTAAGTAAGAGGGTCAGACAGATAAGAAGTCTTTTCCTTTTTTTTTTTTTTAATTCGGGGGGCTGCCCTCGTTGCACTGCCCGAGACAAGACTTACCAGGCATGGACCTTCTGCTCTTCCTGTAACACACAAGAGGGAGCACTTGGTCACCACAACTTTCATAGAACCAGAGAGTCATAGAACGGTTTGGCTTGAATGGCAACTTTAAAGGTCATTTAGTCCACCCCCCCCGGCATTAAGCAGGGACATATTCAACTAAATCAGGTTGCTCGGAGCCCTGTCCAACCTGACCTTGAGTGTTTCCAGAGATGGGGCACCTCCCAGTTCTCTAGGCAACCTATGCCAGTGTTTCACCGCCTTCATTGTAAAAATCTTCTTTCTTATTTATAGTCTAAACCTACCCTCTTTCAGTTTAAAATCATTACCCCTTTCCTTCACTCTTCTCAGTTTTTGGTTAAAGTATATTCTGTGCCTAGGTTTTTCTTACTTTAAAATGAACTCTTTCAATTCAGTGATAAATGGACATCAGAAAGCTAAAAAAGTTTAAAGGAAAATAGTGGCAATCTCAACCTTACATTATGTTGACATAGCTCAACTGAATGAGCTACAATACCCAAGGCTTCCCCATTGGTTAGGCTTACAGTTCAGCAGGGAAGCCACACTTCAGATTCCAGGACTCTCCAGCAGTGAGGCTTACAAGCACTTCTGAGCGGGGAGCTGCAAAAGCTGGTCCATAGGAAATGAAGAAATGTTACTCCATGGGAAACATCTGATATTTCTGTGTTCTGACATCCATGGCAAATGTAACCTGCTCTCAGCAATCTCATCTTTGGTTAACATCAACAGCTCCCAATCGTCTCCAGAGACAGGTGCCTTCATCAGCCCTGTTACACAGCATACAGTGCTGGGGTGAGAGAGTAGGACCATCCCAATGGTTTCAGTTTCATTAGGACTTAGAGCACTCAGGGTATGTGAAAGACCAGTTCCTGTTTGTTTTCTGTCTAAAAAACAGACTGGACTTCAGTGGACTTTGTGAAGAGGATAGATCGGGGAGGGGTGAAAAACCCCAGGAAGAAACAGACAATGAAAGGCTGACTGCACTGAAGTAGATAGGAAAATCAAAGGATGTCCTGGCCAGATTTTACATGAAGAATCTGAAGATTCCAGACATCCTTCTGAAAGCACTCGTCCCAGTGGCTTACCTTTTGTTTTGGTTTATTTTTTTTTTCTGAAGTCATGGCTGAATTTTGATAATCCTGTTACACTTTACCTAATTAAAGAAAGACTTGTTCTTTCATATGTGCACTTTTATTCACTTAGATCTATGGTATTTACAATATGCTATAAAACATCCATGCTGATTTGGGCTGTGATGGAGTTAATTTTCTTCACAGTATCTAGTATGGGGATGGGTTTGGGACTTGTCCTGGAAACTGTGTTGATAATTCAGGAATGTTTTCCTTTCTGCTGAGCAGTACTTACGCAAAGCCAAGGCCTTTTCTGCTCTTCACTCCACCCCAGCAGCAAGTGGATTGGGGGCACACAAGGAGCTGGGAAGGGGACACAGCCAGAACAGCCGACCCCAGCTGACCCAAGGGGTATTCCATACTATATGACGTCATGCTCAGCTTATAAAGCTGGGGGATGAAGAAGGAAGAGAGGGATATTTGGAGAGATAGCATTTGTAGTCCCAAGTCATCCTTATCCATGAAGTTTGGCTTTCCTGGAGCTGGCTGAACACCTGCCTGCCCATGGGAAGGAGTGAATTATTTCCTTGTTTTGCTTTGCTTGCATGTGTGGCTTTTGCTTTGCCTATTAGACTGTCTGTACCTCAAGCCACAAGTTTTTTCACTTTTACCCTTCCAATTCTCTCCCTTATCGCATTTGGTGGGAGGAAACAAGCGGCTGCAGGGGACTGAGTGGCCACTTGGGGTTAAACCATGACAACATTTACTATCTGTACACTTATACGTAGTTGGTCTAATAAAATACATCGCTCTCTACAGAAACTGTTTCAAAGCATTTTAAACAATATTCTTGCTTCCTAATAATGGACATGTTTTAAAGGCCAAGAACACAGTCATGAAAAAAATAATTCTATGTATCTTATATATTCCTCTTTAATAAAACAAGCAGGGGAGACGAGGAGGAGGTGTCACCTTCTATGTCAATTACCGGTTGGACTGCATGGAGCTCTGCCTGGGGATGGATGAGGAGCTGACTGAGAGCTTGTGGGTTGGGATTAAAGGGAGGGGAGGGACAGGTGACATGAGTCATCTACAGACAGATAGGAATGACCTCATGATCACAAGCCCTGCACCTCATAGGGAACTTCAACCACCCCAATATCTGTTGGAAGGACAACACAGCCAGGAATTAAGCAACCCAGGAGGTTACTGGAATGCTTTCATGATAATTTTCTTCTCCAAGTGATAGAGAAGCCAGCAAGGAGAGTTGCTGTGCTGGACCTTGTTCTCACCAACAAGGAGGGGCTGGTGGGGGATGTGAAGCTCAAGGACAGCCTTGGCTGCAGTGACCATGAAATTGTGGAATTTGAGATCCTTAGGGCAGCAAGGAGGGAGTACAGCAAGCTCACTACCCTGGACTTCAGGAGAGCTGGCTTGGCCTCTTCAGAGACCTGCTTGTTAGAGTGCCATGGGTTAAAGCCCTGGAAGGAAGAAGGGTCCAGAAAAACTGGCTAATATTCAAGATTCACCTCCTTCAGGCTCAGGAATGATGCATTCCAAAGAAGAGGATGTCAGGCAAAAATGTCGGGAGGCCTGCATGGATGAACATGGAGCTCCCAGATAAATTCAAACACTAAAAGGAAGCCTACAGAGGATTGGAACAAGGACAGGTAGCCTGGGAATAATACAGATGAATTGTCCAGGTATCCAGGGATTAGATTAGGAAAGATAAATCCCTGACAGAATTAAATCTCTCCAGGGACATCAAGGGCAACAAAAAAAGCCTCTATAGGTACACTAGTGATAATAGGAAGACTAGAGAAAATAAGAGCCATCTCCAGAAGGAAACAGTAGACCTAGTTAGCAAGGAGATGGAGAAGGCTACGATACTCAATGACTTTTTTGCCTCTTTCTTCACCAGTAAGTTCTCCAATCACACCACCCAAATTGTAGAATGTAAAGGCAGGGATTGGGAGAATGAAGAGGCACACTGTAGGAGAAGATCAAGAACATCTAAGGAACCTCAAGGTGCATAAATCTGTGGGACCCAATCAGATGCTTATTTGGGTCCTGAGGGAACTGATGAAGGAAGTAGCTAAGCCACTATCCATCATATTTGAGAAGTCATGGCAGTCCAGTGAAGTTCCCACTGACTGGAAAAGGGGAAATATAACCCCTGTTTTAAAAAAGGAAACTAAGGAAGGGAAGTAAGAAAGATCCAGGGAACTACAGGCCACTCGGTGCCTGGAAAACCACGGAGCTGATCCTCCTGGAAACTACGCTAAGGCTCACAGGAAATACCAAGGTGATTGGTGACAGGCTTCAGTGATGACAAATCATGCCTGACAAATTTGGTGGCCTTCTATGACAGGATTACAGAGACTGTGGATGAAGAAAGAGTGACTGACCTCATCTGCCTGGACTTGTGCAAGGCATTTGACACTGTCCCACACAACATCCTTGTCTCTAAACCAGAGACATGGAGTTGACATCTGGACCACTCGATGGATATGGAAAAAACTGGAAGCTCACACTCAGAGTTGCAGCAGCTCCATGTCCAAGTGGAGACTATTGATGAGAGGCTTCCTCAGGGAACCCTGGGACTGGTGCTGCTAAATATCTTTGTCAGTGACATGGGCAGTGGGATGGAGTGCACCCTCAGCAAGTTCACTGATGACACAAGGCTGTGTGGTGCCATCAACATGCTGGAGGGGAGGGATGATGCTGGAGGGACCTGGACAGGCCTCAGAGGTGGGTCTGAGTGAACCTCATGAAGTTCAACAAGGTCAAGTACAACATCCTGCACCTGGGTCTCGGCAGTTCTGAGCAGAAGTGCAGTCCTGAGCAGAATTACAGTCTGGGCAGAGAATGGATCAAGAACAGCCCTAGTGTGAAAGAATTGGGGTTGTTGGTGGATGAGAAGCTGGACATGAGTGGACAGTGGGCACTCACAGCCCAGAAAATCAAACCCCATCCTGGGCTGCATCAAAAACTGTGTGGCCAGCAGGTCAGGGGATGTGATTCTGTCCCTCTGTCCCCTTCTGTCTCTGAGACCCCACCTGGAGTGCTCATCCAGCTCTGGGATCCTCAGCAGAGGAAAGACATGGTCCAGAGGGAGTCCACAAAAATGATCAGAGGAATAGAGCCCTCTCCTGTGACAACAGACTGACAGCATTAGGATTGTTCAGCCTGGAGAAGAAAAGGCTCAGAAAAGATTTTTCTAATGGCCTTCCAGTACCAAAAGGGGGCCCTAAAGAGAGCTGGAGGGGGACTTTTAAAGATAACATGTAGTGATAGGACAAGGGGAAATGACTTTGAATGAAAGGGATGTGTTTAGATTGGATATTGGGAAGAAATTCTTTACTGTGACGGTGGTGAGACACTGAAACAGATTTCCTGGAGAAGCTGTGGATGCCCCATCCCTGCAAGTGTTTGAGGCCAAGTTGGATGGGACCTTTGAGAAACCTGGCCCTAGTAGAAAGTTTTCCTTCCCAAGATAGGAAAAGTAGAACTAGAGTATTCTCAATATCCCTTCCAACTGAAACCATTCTATTTTTCTTTTCTATAATATAGCTGAATGATTCTTCCCCATTCATAGTAATTCCAACTATTCTTGCTCAGGGTGTAATTGTGCACTAAAAATAAATATGTTGGTCTGTTACCTTCTGTCATGCTGTAATTATAAGCATCAGTCAATTGAACAAATAAGGCCTTTAGCATTACGGGGTCTTATAAATATGTGACTCTTTATATTTCCCCAAGGGGAGCAACACAGAAGTTCATGTAAATGAATAAAGATATCCATCTAGAACACTGTCTGATACCCCAGTGCAGCCTGTTGATTCAAAAAACATCTGTCTTAATCTTGGATAAAAGAACACAAGATATCAAAAGCTTAAAAGATACCAGGTAAGCATTATTATCTTTTGTATCCTCAGTATTATAAACCAGGGGGCCCCTGGTGGTCTAGTGGTTAGGGTGCAGGACTCTCACCGCTGTGACCCGGGTTCGATTCCCAGCCCCCGGGCAGATGGAGCTCGTCAGCCCTGTGAGGCAATCCATCTAAGAGAAGGTCACTCTAAACAAACCTACGTCCTGAGACCCTCACTGCCACTGTCCAAGCTCGCTCGGCCCCGGCAGATGAACCTCAGGATTAAAGGGTGGGCTCAGTTCAGCGCACGCTGTGTCTCACCTAAAAATCCACTGCGCAGGCTCGAAGGGTTAATGACCTTTCCCAAATCTTCACTCGCGAAGACTGGCCATTATTACATTATAAACCAAATGGAGTTGCTACATTTCATCTTAGTCATAGCCAACACAGGAATGGTGTTGTTAATAACTTGAGAAGCAAATAATCAGGTTCACCATGAATCAGCTGGAGTTCCGTTTTGTGGCTTTTCTCGCTTGTTTGGTATGCTTTGGTGCTTTTAAGATATTTGAGATATTGATATATTCATGTTTTCTTACAGAAAATAGAAGCATCTGGAAAAGCAATATATTGTCAAGGTATTTAAAAATGGGAGTCCAAGTCTGGATGTGGCAATTTGTAACAGATTAAGTCTAGGCAAAGGTCACCCATTAAACAATTTCAGGATAAAAAAACCAAGTAGCAGTGTGGAGAGGGAGAGTCAGAGGCAGATGGATTTCTTGAAGTGGGATAATGATGGAAAAAACAAGTTTAAGGAAGAAAGCCAACATCTTAGGTGGAATTGAAAATAATAACAACAAACCTGCTACCCAGGAGCTTGCAGCTGTTGTAAAATTTCCTTGCCATTCTGTGGAAGAGACATGAATGTGCATTTTGGGACTTACAGTTAGATTAAGAAATATAGAAACTCTTTGTAGTCCTCACTCCTCTCTTTTTAGCTGGAAAAGCACCAAAGGATCTGTAAAGTGCATATTGCAGCAAAAGTCACATACAATTTTATACGATTCATCAAAACATTCAACAAAAGCAGCTGTTAGGTGAAGGCTGGCTAGAAATGCTTTGAACTTGGGTGATAAGTGATGATAACTATTGACTAACAAACAGGAGCGGTTGTCTACCACTGTCACTAATAAAATGAAAGGCAGACACGCTTTCAACAGTTACACAAAGTGCTCCACGAACATTATGCTGATATGAGTGCATCCAAAAAATCTTGGTTCTGAAGCATCTCAGTCTGTAGACTTGTGCGAAGACATTGCAGATACTGACTTCTGGAAGTGGTAACAAGAGAAGTGGAAAAGGAGCAGGAAAACCCACAAAATTATTTGACCCCTTGCATGTCCACAAAAACATGAGGAACGTGCTGACTATTTTAGAGCGCAGAGTAACCTTGGATTTCATATGATGAAATTATGATTGTGACAGAAAATAAGCTGTTGAATCATGTGCTCCTTTTTCAGAAAGAAAAATTTAATATTTAAACACCATTTTTTCACCCATTTGTATAGAAAAATAAGTGAAGGATTAATTAAGAGACAAGAGAATATAGTATGCCTCCCTGATTTGTTCCACAATTAGTCTGCATAAAGAAATATAAACCTAAGAACAATTTTATCTGCATTTAAATCTAAAGCCTAATGTGATGTAAATCTCAGCGAATGTGCTAGCACAAGGCTGACAATGAAGAATCTCTGCACAGAACACAGTCTTTCAGAAAATGGTTCTCTGTACTACAGATTGGCTCAGACTAGAAAACTCTAAAAAAAAAATCTTACCACAGACACACAGAGGTTTCTCAGTGCAGATTGCTCAAGAGTTTGGGCTGGAAGCCTGGAGTCAAAACTGAATAAAAGCCTGTCTGCTAAAGAAGAATTCACTTCCAGCAACCCCTGTTCCACTATGGAAAAGCTCTGCCAACCACATGAGGCACAGCGGGAAGAAGAAAAGAATTCAAAAGGAAACTTGGCTTTGTACCTATTGCAGTCTTAATCATCCTTTTTGAACAGAATTCAGCTGTCAGCCATGTGGAAGACAAACACTTGTGAGGAAGTACAGAAACATCTGATATTAGGGGTGATATTACAACCAGCATCTGCTGCTTGTCTCCCATTCTGTTAGAATAAAACAGTAATGCAAGTCCTGTCATAAAAACTAATGCATTAGGATGAATGAGGACATCCACCAGGCAACTGAGGCAAAATTTTTTTTGAAAGAAAGAAGTAACAAGGATGATGTCATGCTTTTATGGATTGACTGTTGTTGTTGCCATTCTTTACTGTATCTTGGACACAGGGAAATAGTAACACTGGTGGACAGTAAAACCTGCTCTCTTTCTTCCTCTTAAGGTTTCTATTCCAGACTCATATTTTCTGTTTCCACTTCCTGTAATTTCTATGGTTATTGTCTCATCTGGCCCTTGTAAAGGTATTTTCAAAATATTTGCTTAAATAATCCACCTAACTTGCAGTATTTGTTATTTTTCTCTATAGAGGATTCTGTAAAGCCCATGGGACTTATCACAATCGTGTAAGACAGGTAGCTATCACTAAGTTAATAGATAACCAGGTTTTATACCAGTATGGACTATGAAACCAGAGAGAACTCCATGCCTGTGTTTTGAATTACGTATGGAAACCTTTGATGCTGCCTGGTACTTAATCACAGACTTGGAAAGATGATATGTTTGTGCCAGTCTGTAAAATTATAAGTATAGCCATGGCTGTCTTCAAAAGATCCTTCTAGTGACTTGATGATTTTACAACATTATTTGTGTCCCAGAAGCTCATAGGTTCTTTCAGTGGAAAGGGTTAATTTGTTTTGTTAGAGAAAGTGGCAAACAGATAATCTAACAAACTTTGTCTGGTGTGATATGGGCATTTTAAAGCAGATAGGGGAGAATTTTAAAGTGGCTGTAGGACGGAAGCAAGACCAAGAATATAAGGGTTTACTTCAAATTAAATTAGCTTATGGGTGGAAGAAGAAAGGTTAGGATACTACTGAAGATGAGGCGGTAGCAAAAGTCACTTTGGTAGGAGAGGTATTTATTTATTCTACATTCTTGAATGCTTATAGATCTTTTTGGTGCCAGGGACTGCAGTTCTTCATTTTTCAGCTTTTACAAGTTAGGATATTGTGACACATCTTCAATACAAAGGTAAGATAAACTGAATCTGTCTATGTTGTAACAAGTATGTAATAATTAAATTTGTATACAGAAATAAAAAGAAAGTTCTGGATTAATGTTATAACATGGTTTAAACTTGCCTACTCACTTACCAAAGTACCAGCAGGATTTTGACAAGGGTTTTTTCTGCATTAGATGAAACTGAAAGCTGATGTCAAGAAACATTACAGAGAAAATAAAGAATTTCAAGGAATTCAAGGGATTCATTTAGAATACCACTTCTGTTTTTGAAAGTCACATGCAGCTGCATTTTAATTCCAGAAGACTTTAAAAATTGTACCTTTATTACACTGCAAAATATTGATGTTGATGTTAAAGAATTTTGTAAAAGAAAGCTGTAAGGAGCTTCCAATGAGTTCGTATGCATTTTGTCCCCCTGGGATTTCGTTGCTTATAGTATATATTCTCCTCATTTTTCTAGGTTAGAATTTATGCTTCTGGGTTGACATTATTACTAACTGGTGAAGACTTTAAATTGTAGGGCTGTATCTGCAAAAATTATAGTAATCATCATTACTGCAGTCTGTAAGTCTGGACACCAATGCATGTGGTTCTGGTGACAAACAGAATAGGTAGAATCCTTCATTCACAAATGAATTTGCGTTTGTACATTTTTAATATACTAGAGACTGCAAAAAGTGAGAGAAAATGAGAAAACAAGAAGCCTCTGTTTCCTTCCTAGAAGGAAAGCATCTTTCTTGAAGTAGCTTTAGGCTTGGACAAACAATAAAAATAAAACTGAGACTGTGAGTAATACTTTTTATAACAATAAGTTTACAAATTAGAGAGGGAACGTTTATAAAATTACTCATTTCCCCCTTCCCCATATATATGTGCTTTTCATTTTCAAAGGTATTGCTATGTCTCTGTAGATTGTCACTAGTTGTTGATCATTCTTAATTTAGTGTGTATGTCAAAGGATGGATTTGCACTTCCTCCTTATGCTCATCTATTCAGGATGTTTGTTATAACTTAAGGGGATGAGTAATCCAGGATGATAGTCCTCAACAAGACTTTTTTATTTTATCAGTGTTACACAGAGAATAGAGGAAAATCCTTAATCCTGAAATCATCTGTCTGAGAAAATAAAGGAATACAAGCAGACAAAATGAACATTTTTTTTTTTTTAGAAATAGTTAATTCTTTCACTGTAAGGTCAGTTCCTCCCAGTCCAAAAGGATCATGCACTCGAGTGTGGAGATAGCTAAAGTTTACTGTGGATTGATACATGATACCTGTAATGCAGCAATCTGAACATCTGTGCACCTGCACAAGTCACCCAACTGAGGGCCTCGCATTCTGTCCTCTCTTACTTTTACAATAGGGCACAAATGTTACAAGTCAGCACATTTCTTGGAGAGCAAAAAGGTGAACCAGATAAGCAGGTAGCATGTCACTGGGACAAGAACGTGATATATTCAGGTGGAGGATAGTGGCCTCTCAAAAGTGAAGGTGTCTCTATCGTGTTTTCATATCAGGTTTTAAGTTACACATTTATACAACTAGTCATTTGCCACACTGATTAAAATAGGAAGCATATGCAGTTATGTAATGGGACATTTGTGGTTGCAATTGCTGGGTCATTTACATCTGTGCCAAACTGAGAAGGTTTATGCTTGCTTTGCAAAATGGAAATACTAATGAAAATCTGGGAGATGGATGTAATCAGACATTGTGACTTTGGGCAAAGGAGGATCCTGCATTGCTCATTTCTAGTAAAACTAAGTGGCCTGGAGCAGTGATTTTATGGTGCGCTTAAATAAGATGTCTTAATTTGTTCCATAGTATACCAAAAAGCCCAAAACAGTGATTCGGCAAGCTGTGGGTGAAATCCAGGCTGCAAATGAAATCAGTTCATTGGGGTTACAAAGCAGGAGTTAACAGCATTGCAGGGATAGATTGGAGAACAACACTGAGACTCAGGCTTGCTAAGAGCCTTAACTCAAACTTTGTTTTATCTATTTGTCAAATGAAGGGTCACCTGTATTATAACTTCACCTCTACCAGCCAATTAAAGTCAAAGAAAAGGGTTTTGTAGCCCGTTAGATTACATTGTTTACCTTCTACTTAAGAAAACACAAGTAATACACAGGTAAAATTAAAGAGAGTTTTTCCTTCCTTCTCTTTTCTCCTTCTCAATCCTGAAAGTGAAGAACACTAGATCTTTGTGTCCTAGAGCAGCAGGCTTGAGGGAAGCTGCAAAGTTTGTTTGTAAATTAGCTAAAATTCTGCATTATTTCACTTCAGAAATTAAGAACTTCTTTACTTTGTGAGTCCTGAGAATGAAAAACAAAAGAAGTAGTGAGTTCACAATAGGAAAGAACAAAAATTGATTTTGGAAGAGCAAAATAAGCTTTGGTAGGTTATTTAAAATGTTGGAGGTGAGGGGCGTGGAGTTGTTTGTTTGTTCGAATAATTGTTATTTGTCTTCAATGACAAATTATCATAAGAAAAATTTCAGAGGGGACACAAACACTTATCTTTATTGTGTTTCTGCATAGGAAGTCACAGTGATATCCCTTTACTTCTGAGTAGTTGCTGAGCAAGCTCCCACATTCGGTGTTTATATGTTACAGTTTCAGAGTGTAATAGCAAGCATCATTCCATTCCCATTTAAAACCTCTCTAATTAACTTTCTGACCCCTTCTGCAGCCATATGGATACAATGTCATCCAGCAGTTATTGCCTTATGGTGCTCCAGATGCACTTAATGTGTCCACACAGAAACAACCTTCCAAACTGCTGGTGATCTGGACAACAGCCATTTTCCCCAGCTAAAACTCTGTTTTGTTTCATCTGTGTCCAGTGAAATGCTGGGCTCTTATGCACAAAGCAAGCATTTATGCTGATTAAGCACCTTTTTTTTGTGAGCAGGTTATGCACAATCAAGCGCGTTTGACTCAAATACAGAAGCATAAATTGGTTTACTCAGTTAAAAGCTTTGGTCTGGCAGCTAGAGATGATAGGTGGAGCTTAAGGAATCCACAGTGCTTATGAATACTGAATTACTTTTGGCCTGTAAAGCAGCATGCTGAGAGTAGGCAGAAATTTCTTCACTGGCACTAACAAAGTCTTGAGCTCGTGAGAGTAAGAGATGCACTATTTTTCCTGGTAACTTTGCTTCTATGTATGGCCTTCCCTTGCTAGTCTAACATAAATAGGCTCCGGAATTATCCATATGCTACATGTTACTGCATAATAGGAAGTATAAATGGCTGCCTTAAGACAAAACGCTAGTTACAAGCTGCAGGAGCTTCACAGATTTCACAGATTTAGTGGGATATACTCAGAAAAGGAACCTTGCCTTTGTTTAAAGGGCATAAAATTTACTTTCAGATTTTCTTCATTTCAATGTGTGGATAAAGCCAAAAGAAGTAGCAATTGAAAAGATTTTGTATATATTTTAAATATTCCTGCCATCTTAAGAATTGGAAATAGTAAAAGTACTGTGTTCTGTCCAAAGATTTGCTGCAGAAGTAATGATTTCTTTTAAAGACCATTAGCTTGAAACCAGTGCAGTGATTTAGCTATAATCCTCAAAATTACTGATCAACCATTTTCACCTAGTCAGCTTTTTGCTGTAACATGAAATGAGGAAACAGTTTCTTGGATGAGATAAACAAGCAATTTGTTATCATTGTAAAATTGAAGTGTGCAACATAAGCAAAACAGCTTTTTGCATTCTGTTTTTGGCAGTTGCCACCTGTCTTATTGTTTAACTTCATCTGACCATTTCTGTATTCCTGCTTTTTGTTACTGTAAAAACTCAAAACAAATATCCTGCCAGCCCTAATTTTTTTCTAAATATTTGCCATATTCGCAGTTGTTACAAGAAATTTAAGTGTAGAGATTGGTTTACTTAGGTATTTTGGCTAACAAAGGTCAAGAGGATTGGGTTATAAATACGTGAATCATTAATTGTAGTGTGTTCCTTCTACTGTGTTGCTGAGAATTGCACAGGGGAACAGAGGTTAAATACTTCCCCATAGGCTGCAGTGGCTTTCCCCCCATGCTGTAGTTAACTCTGCCTGGTGCAAGAAGACATCTGCTCAGTTGTGCTGGTTGCTTCTGCCAGCCACTTGAACATCCATCAAAAAATACTGTTACATCAAGTTTTCTGTAATTGGAATCCTTGCTTTTCCCAGAGAAAGAGCCTTGGAATAAACTGTCATAATATCACATATTGTAAGGGTGACAATCTGCTGTTTTGTCAGGTGCTTTGGTACACATATGTGTTCATAAAAGAAAGGGACTTCAGGCAGATTTGGGAGCTCATAGCCTTGTGTGACAGATCCCAAAGCATTTAACACATGAATACTCCCTCTAAATCGTATGTGAAGCCTAGCCATGATGATGATGATGACTCCCTCTGAGTTCAGTGGGAACATTTCTGAGCCTTAAGTGAAGTTTGTGATTTATTGGTTGCATATTGGTGTCTGAGTATATGATAGATAAAAGTCTATGTCCCAAAAATATGCTTGCAAGTTATGGGTCATACCTTTTACTGTACCGGTATGGTACCTTCTGATGGTAGACATTAGTTGTGACCAGGGATTAAGGACAGATCTCAGCTAGTACAGCCTTGGTTTTGATTGTGGTGATGAGTCACTGAGTGCATTCATACAGTGTTAATGAGGGTCAGGCTTGGGGTAACACTGACAGGGCAGTATTGCACTTAACATGTTCAATTTCTGAGTAGAAGTTTGGATGTGTTTCGGAGCTCTAAGAAAGGGCAGTCGGTCCCCCTCCAATTACACCCGTGGAACTTAGGCTGAGGCAGCCCATCAGTTGGGCTTTGTGGATCGACTCAGTTTGGCTGACTGGTAAATGTGGACCAAAGAACAGGCTTGAGCAGCATTGAGCTGATAGTGCTGAGGTATCCAGGGCACACAACACTTGATGCATCTGCTTCCTATTGCAGAAGAGAGACATCCATCAATAATTGCTACTGAAGAGGAGTATTTCAGTATATAAGATACTTCCTTACCAGCAGCAAGATTAGTGCTCAAGCAAAACTTGGAAAAGCAAGAAATGAAAGCTTATAGAAGAGGCAGAGATTGCAAAGTATCTAGTTTTGTAAAAGGACATGTAAAAGCTAATAGTGAGAGCAGTGCTAATGTTTTGGCATCCAAATGCAACTAGCAACCTTTGACTCTATGCCAGTTCAGCACTGGGTGTGAAACTCTTGGCGGTTTGCCTTGACTTCACAGCATTTTTGGGTCTGGAGACAGAGAGAGCAGAGGAAAAGAGTGTAGAGACCTGAGTAATCAGGAGATTTTAAAAATCTTGTTTGTTTCTCTTTTCTATTTACAAGAAATTATGGATGTCTTGAGT